ATTAATCTTACTATATTCACCATGTCCATTTTGAAAATTCTATTTAACTTCTCAAGTTGCTAATCAGCTAAAGAAATATTAACCATGAAATGGATATGAAATTAATTACCCTCCAATGTCCCTGAGATGCCCATCTGCTTAATATTTTTCCCTTTAACTCAGAATAATGAGGAAGAGAAATCAATTTCTATTTCTGTAGGAGTTGTCATTAGTTGTCTTGAGTTGGACAATTGCTATGTATTGACTCACCAACTTCCAGCTTCACTTCAATATTAAACACCAGTATGATATATGTCTTCTCTATACCCAACCTTAAATATCAGTACTTTCATTTTTTCCAGTATATTTCTGAATGAAAAGATTCACTTCAACTTTTATTCCTTAGTTGGTAACACTGACCCATAACAGATAAGTTATCTCCTAGCACATTTCTTGATCACAATTTCAAATCTAACAGGGCAGAACTCTTTATTATTCCTCTCTAAGCTCTCTTTTTTCCTTCTTCTAAGCATTTTAGCAAGATCACATTTCCATGTGATTGCAACAGCCCCTTATATATATGCATTCCCAACAAAATCTGTGTATCAGGAACTTGTGTTATCTTCTTTATTAGACCCTCAACTATGTCATTTGATGTTGATTGCACTTGGTTCACTCACTTTAATATTACTGTTATTTGGTAGTTTGTATGCCATTGGAATGCAGCCTAAAGAGAGGATACTTTTCTCTTCTTGCAAATGTACTGCATTAAAAACTATAAACCAGATTCACAGCTTGCTATTTTATTTTTGGAGTGAGGCCGAAATAACAGCACCTTTTTTTCCTGCTTAAAATTAGAACCATTGGAGAAATTAGACTCATGTGAAAAGATGCTCAACATCACTAATCATCAGGGAAATGCAAATCGAAACCACAATGAGATACTAACTCACACCTGTCAGAATGGCTATCATCAAAAAGACAACAAATAACAAGCATGATTTACATTCTTAACATGCTGTAGGTATAAACAATATTATTCATAGAATGGAAGCACTGATTCAAAACCAAACCTACATAACACAAAGAGTAAGCTTCTCTGGAGCCCACCTCCTAAGTATTCTGGGAATCCTCTATGTGCTATTTAACATGTACTCATAAACAAGTTTATTGTGACTGAAGGTTTCTGCTTTGCTTCCGGTCATCGCAGGTTTTTTTTAAACCCAGAATCTATTGTTTCTCTGCTGGCCTGTATTGTTGTTCCATATGACATTAGTGTCTAGTTGAGGATTGGTTGATGCTCCATTTCCTTCCAGATATTACAGATTTTACTAAAGACTACCACTGGGTATCACCATCAATATGTGTCAATGTCTCACAGCAGCAGCGTGAGTCAGGATAGAGTCAGGCCAGGCTATGCTATGCTGCAACAACAAACATCTTCAAAATTCCAGTGGCTTAATACAATGGGATCTCTTTCTCACACCACAGTCTGGTACAGGACTTAGGATTCTAGTTCCCCTCCAACTCGTGATGCTGCCTGCCTTCAAAATATGACCTCAGTGGTATCCATGATAGGAGAAGAGAGCATGGGTGGTCATTCCTTGGGTTTAATGACAAAACCTGAACTTACATAAGTCCGGTGGTGTGCTGCAGACAGTTCACCATGGTTTGAAAGATTAAATTTGTGCATTTCTTCCCAACTCCAAGTTTATTGATGCCACATTTTTAGCCCACTATCAGCCATGGTGTATTTATACCAGGAAAATCAGCAAATACTATAAACAAGGTGGGTTTTTTTCTTTCTATTTTTCCTTTTTTCTTTTTCCAGGAAGCTGGTTTACCAGCATGACACTGCAAAACATCATTTCCACTCTCCTCCTATTGGCCAGAACACAATCACTTGGCCTCACTTTAATTGCAAAGAGATTGAGAAATGTAATGATTTTATGTGTCCAGGATGAAGAAATAACATTGGTGAATACCTGGCCAATTTTGCCCTAGTACCTAAACTGTTAGATCATTGGTGTTGAAATGAGGGAGGAATGCATTACTATTGGTATGTTTCACTTCCTTAAGATGTATTGTTGCCCACGAATTCTACTCATGCCACAATGTCTTACGGAGTTTTATTTAATAAAACAACTCTTTAATTTTCTTCCTATACCCCCAATTCATTAAGAGTTCAATGAAAAAAACATAAACTATTTTCAGTATTTTAAGCAGGAAAAAAAATCCAATAAGAGTAATTAGGCACTTACAAATTAATTGAAAGGGCTACAAAAGCAGAATTCAAGGGATTGTCGATGGAAGATAGATCCATGGTCGTGTGACCATAGCTGATCCAGAGGGAAAGAAGCTATAGTGGCTATCACTGCCATTATAACCTTTACCAAACATTGTAATGTAGCGCCAACCACAGAAACTTTGCATATGTCTCTAAACACCAGCCATAGTGGGAAATAGCTTCTACTTGACTTCAGTGTTAAAATATAAGTGGATATATTAGCAGACCTAATTTGCATCAAACAATGTAGCTATCAGAGGATATGGGCAATGTAGTTTTAAGTTTTCTACCTTCTTAGATACACTAAAAAATGTAAAAGAAAGTGAGAATGGAGGTAAGTACCATTACACCTTATTCCACATAAGTCTTCTCTCATTCAGTTTTAGGCATCAGTCAGTAACGATATTTTCCCTTCCTTCAAGCATATCAACATAAGAAATAGATTCTTAAGGGTCACCTACTTAGTTCAGCTATTTTAGTAGGCTTTAGGCTCACCTGAATGACTGCAGTATTAATTGCATTATTTATTCATCAATGATAAATTCTATTTTTTTCTGTTTGTTTTGTTTTTCTTCCAGTTTTATTGAGATATAATTGACATATAGCACTGCATAAGTTTAAAGTTTACAGCATAATGACTTGACTTACATGCATCGTGAAATGATTTTCACAGTAAGCTTAGTGAACATCCATTATCTCATATATAGATACAAAATTAAAGAAATAGAAAACTTTTTGTGTGTGATGAGAACTCTTCTCTTAGGATTTATTCTCTTAACAACTTTCATATATAACACGGAGCAGTGTTAATTATATTTATCTTGTTGTAAATAACATTCCCTAGTACTTATTCGTCTTATAACTGGAAGTTTGTACCTTTCAACAGCTTTCATGGAATTCTCCCTTCCCCCAACTCCCTCTTCTGGTAAACACAAATCTGATCTCTTTTTCTATGAGTTTGTTTGTTTTTGAAGTGTAATTGACCTACAACACTATGTTAGCTCCTGTTACACAACGTAGTGTTTTGCTATTTCTATATATTTCAAACTGATTACTATGATAAGTCTAGTTACAATACGTCACCATACAAATATATTATGTAGTTATGGACTATATTCCCCACACTCTATATTTCACACCTGTGACTTATTTATTTTGCAACTGTAAGTTTGTACCTCTTAATCTCCTTCATCTTTTTCTTTTCTCCCCCCCATTCTCTTTGACAACCACCTATTTGTTCTCTGAATCTATAACTCTGTTTCTGTTTTGTTAGTTTGCTCATTTAGATTCCACATATAAGTGAAATCAAAAGGTATTTATCTTTCTCCATCTGACTTATTTCATTTATCATAATACTGTCTAGGTCAATCCATGTTGTCACAAATGGCAAGATTTAATTATTTTTATGGCTGAGTAATATTCTACTTTACATATATTTGCATATATTATAAATATGTGTGTATATACATATATATTTTTATATATTCTTTATCCACTCATCTATCGATAAGTACTAAGGTTGTTTCCATATCTTGGCTATTGTAAATAACACTGCAATGAACACTGGAGTACATAGGTCTTTTCAAATTAGTGCTTCCCCCCCCACCTTCAGGAGTGGAATTGCTGGATCATATGCTGGATCAATTTTTTGAGCAATATTCATACTGTTTCCTATAGTGGCTGCACCAATTTACATTCCCATGAACTGTGTACAAGAGTTCCCTTTCTCCACAACCTTGCCAACATTTGTCATTTGTTGTCTTTTTGATGATAGTTATTCTGACAGGTGTGAGGTGTTATCTCATTGCAGTTTTGATTTGTGTTTCTCTTATGATTAGTGATGCTGAAAATCTTTCATTTGCCTGGTGGCCATCTGTATATCTTCTTTGGAAAATGTCTATTCATATCCTCTGACCATTTTTTAATCAGGTTGTTCACTTTTTGATGTTGAGTTGTATGAGTTTTGGGTATATTTTTGATATTAACCCCTTAACAGATATATCATTTGCAAATATATTTTCTCATTCAGTAGGTGGTCTTTTTTGTTTCATTGATAGTTTTCTTTGCTGTGCAAAAGCTTTTTAGTTTTATGTAATCTCATTTATTTATTTTTGCATTTGCTTCCCTTGCCTGAGGAAACACACCCAAAATATTACTAATCAAAGTAATCGATGTCAGAGAGCATACTACCTATGTTTTCTTCCAGAAGTTTCATGGTTTCAGGTCTTATATTTAAGTCTTTAATCCATTTTGAATTTTTTTGCATGGTATTTCAATTTTATACACATTTGTAATTTATAAATGCATTTATATTTATAGTGTACCTTGCTCCAATATATAATTGTCAGTGGCATTCCAAAATACATGTAATGAAAATGAAATTAAAAAAAAAAAGATGCTTAGGAAAATATAGATAGAAAAGGACATGGCATCAAGGAGGAAAGTTTGTTTTTAGATATATGACTCATAGATTCTTAAATTGTTGTTAATGTTGAGCTGCAAACTTCACTCTGAGTTTCATGGTAACCAACACAAAAATGTAAAAATGGAAAAATTATCATCTGTACAAGGTACATTAACCATGAAGATTCATCCAGATCTACTACATGATTTTCAGAGCCCAGTGCAAAATAAAAATGCAGATGCAAAAGTTATGTAGTATTTCAAGACAGAAACAGAAAAACATTAAAACCAAGAGCAGATCTTCTAAGCATGGGACACAGTACTAGTATACAGATCACATGTCTGTGAATCCAAGCTAGCTCTGGGCTCATCTTTTCCTCCACAGAAACAAAGCTTTTCCTAATACTTACAGCTAAGAAAAAACCTCTCACAGCAGTTTCCATCCATAGACATTAACTAATATAGTGACTAATAATAGTAAAAATAGCTAATTTTTCTCAATGATTTACCATATGCCAGAAACAGACAGTTCTAGAGAGCATTCCCCTTTCCTCAGTGAAGATCAAAGTAAGCCCAGGCCAATACATTAGAGCAGAGAGCACAGATATCAGTTAGAGAACAAAATTATATGGTACATGTAGCCCTCTGACTGTCTAGTTTCAAAAGCAGGAATCAAAACCTCAGCTACAAGAATGGGAATACAGCCATTGGAATGGGAATACAGATTTCAGATGAACATTGCCTTAGATACAATTTCTATGGGTCAGAAACTACAGCCCATGGACCAAAATCTGGCACTTTGCTTGTGTTCATATGGCCTGTAAGCTATGAATAGTCTTTATATTTTTAAGTGATCACATTTTAAGTGGTATTGTAAATATTTATATAACATCCTCCATTTGCCTCTTGGCTTGCAAAGCCTAAATATATACACTATCTCACACTATATGGAAAAGTTTGCTAACCTCCTCATTTGTTCTATTGAATTATAATTAATCATGTTTTCATGTTTTTACTCTATGTGTATATTGCCATTTTTGCATTTATTCATTTTATGGTATTAACGTTTAATACTTTCTACAAGTCCAGTCTATGCAAACTTTTATTATTATTACTACTATTATTATCTGAACTGTCAAAATATGCTGTGTGTCTAGATCATTGACAGATATTTTTATTCTATTTTGTCTTATTAGTTTTTAAGTCTATATATTAAATATCCTTCTGTCTTTCCAGCACCTAAGACTGTATCTTTCAGATGTAGGCAAAGCTCTGGAATTCAAATGAGGAGATGGTGGTTCACGTACTGACTCCAAACTTAACACATCAGGTCTTTGGGTAAATCATTTACAGTCACTTGATTCTCCACTTTCTTATCAGTAAATATGGAATTGTAGTATAATAGAAAGAAACCCTGAGCTTTGACTTATGAGCTGTGTATCTTAAGAGTTGCTTTGTCTCTCTGGGTCTCATAATACTTTCCTTCAGGTTTATCATGGAAGCCTGTTACATGCTATTACACTCTGTCAAGGCAAGAAAATAGAGCTTATTTAATAAGCTCTCAATTGCTACTATTAAGATCAAAAACAGTAAGAGATGTGAAAGAAGTTTTTAACTTTAAAATAGAAACCATACATATTTCTAATATTAAATAATGCCTCAAAGACCTTCAAAGATGGTAGATGACATCTCTCCAAAAACACAGTCTTCCATTTATTTACTGCTTATAGGAGTCACAGAACCACTATAGTTTGCATGCTTTTGCTAAGAATCAAAGTGTTAGGTTTTGTTCTGTTTTGTTTTTCCTATTGACATTCTACTGTATAAAATCATACACAGCTGAAAAGAGTGTACAGGAATCAGATGCAAACTTTATTGGTAGCCTCGAAAGTTTACATCACAGACTCATTACTTGCCTTTAGGCTTAATAAACTGAAATAATAAAAATTCAACCTATCTGGGTGGTATGCTGGCTGAACTTCATTTGCCAATATTATATTTAGTGAACAAGCAGTTAAACTTAGTTGCAGAAATGTACTCTTAGTTTCAAAAGGATACTGAGAACTTTTTTTTTACTCACTAGTTTCATTTGTGCTGAGGGCAACTTTTTCTCCTGGATACACATCACATGCTTGGGACAATTACCAGGATAAAAATAAGAAAATAAAAAATGTACATATTTTTCTACAGCTGCTCTTTTCAAATGCAGTGATTAGATATGACTGTTAACATAGTTCATAAGATGTGTGCACTTCAAAATTCTGTGCATTGGTGAAAAATTATATACATGACTCATTTAAAGGTGCTAATAATTTTTTTACATTAATTTCATTTATGAAATACATTGTACTTCACTGTGAATAATAATTATAACAATTATAAAAACATAATTAAGGAGAATATACTCATCAACACTAATCATTTATTTACAAATATTAATTAAATAATCAAACCAAGAATTCACTTGACAAAGATTATTCAGCACTTGTTAGGTGGTGAACAGAAAGTTCTGCCTGGGAAGTACAGCAAAGAACACCACAAAATCCAACACTTCCTGGAGCTTACACTTCATGTTAAGTGTGGTATGAAAGTGAGAAATTCGTGGGAGGCAACCTGGCCCTGCACACTTGTTTTGAAGTCGAAAGCCCCAAGCCCTACAGAGGTGAAAGGATTGGATCAATTCAAGAGCCATTTAGGAGCCACGTCAGGACTAGTACCCAGGTCTACCTGATCTCCAGTGTGTGCTGATCTAGTAAGCCAAGTACATGTAAACTGGAGCACATCATTATATCTGCTTTAACTAGATTTTGCATTTTCATGTAGCTGTTTTACAAGCAAAATGCTTTTGGACATATGCTTCAGTGTAATACCTTGCAGTGCTTTAGTTAATGAAGATCCTCTAAAAACGTAAGCCAGGTAATATCACTCTAGTGAAAACCTTCAATGACTCACTTTTTCTCAAGGCAAAAGCTAAAATCCTTTAAATGCCCTATAGAGCCCTGCGTAATCTGCCCTTCTCCCTCCCTTTTATTTCTCTACCATCATCTCTTACTACTCTTCCCTTTCTTATTCTAATCCAGCCACCCTGTCCCTGATTCTCTCAAACATACCAGTCATACACCCACCTCAGGCCCTTTGCACTGATGGCTCCCTCACATGGAGAATTCTTCTCCAAGTTTCTGTTCAGGACCTGCTTCTGCACAGCCTTCAGGAATTTTCTCAGATGTCAGCTCAGTGAGGCCAACCCTGAGGACCTATCTAAAACTCCAACCCATCTCCTCCCCCTCACAATTCCTTATCCTGCTTCCCCTGCAATCCTTTTCCTTTTTTCACACTAACCATAACCACCTAAGCTATTGTTTAATTTACTTATTATTTTATGATCTCTATTTTCTATTGTCTTTTTTCCCCAGTTGGAATAAAAGCTCCTCAAAGACAATGCTTTGTCTGTTCTGTCAGTGGTGTATCCCAAGCACCCAGAAAAATATTCTGGTATGTAGTAGACCCTCAATTAATATGTGTGGGAGAAATGAGTGTTGATTTTATGTTTATTATGCAATGGAGACTATGTGCTGTCTAAGAGGTATGGCATATGCGAGCTCTCACCCAGCTCGCATCTAGGAGACTGTCTTATGAAACTTGTCACATAACACACATATATGCACATGTGTGCATACACACATCCAACACTGAAGGCATTCATGGATATATATATTAAAAATTCTAAAGGCTTTATGGAAAGATGGAAGAGAAAATTACTTGTTACACTAAAGCACTTCCTATAAATTCCCTTAAACTTGTTTGTCTTTCTCAAGTGTTCTTTTCTCATGACAGCTGCCACATTTATGCTTTCTCCCAGGTCTTTTCAACCATCTTCTCAGTCAACCTCTTTTCAATATTCTGTGATTAAGTCCCACCAAACCTTTTCCCAATTATATATCTACCTTTCATCAAATTCAGCAAAACAAAACGTCTTGCTAGAAATCCTCCCTCCTCAGCAGTGTTTATTGGGGTTTGCAGTGGAGAAAGTTTATTATCTTTTTGTTTTATATGAATACATCTTCTTCTCCACAGTCTTCAATAATTAAAGGGTATTGCTTAGGATTCTTGGAAGCAAAGAGAGGACAAATTATCCTATGAAATAAGCAGTTTCCAGTCCATAAAAGGAACCTGACCAATATTTTTATCTTTCCACCAAAAGACAAGAGAGTTATAGTAGGACAATACAAGAAAAGCAAGTCAAACTGAGTATATGATAGAAATAGATTATATCCAGAGCCTGAAGAAAAAAATAATAAAGGGAGATTTAAACCAAAAACAAAATAAAAGAGACCAAGAAGTAAAAATTCAGAAACTTTCAGATGAAATGAATTAGAAATAAAATTCATAGAGATGGTATTAGCCAATGGGAAAGAAATAGTTAATTGAGTGTAAAAATAAAAATTCATTAAGCACTAGTCCATAGAAGTAAAGTTAAAGAGGCAAATTTAACGGTCTCTCTGTTCGTTGTGGAAAACGATTCAAAACATTAGGTTTTATCCTAACAGTGTTTGGTGGCTGTATCTGTCAGGCATTCAAACCTTCATATTCTCTATGCTTTCTTTCAGTGTGAGTTCAGGTGTGGAGGTCATCAGGATACCTCATGCCCACAGCTAGCTTTGTTGATTTCCTGCATTCTTAGGGACTTGACTATAGAACAACATGGAGCCAAGAGAGAATAACCCTGAGATTACATTTAAAGGATTATCAGCCTTCAAGGAGGCCATCCCTCATGTATTCCAAAGTTCAGTGCAACAAAATTTGACTGTTGAAAAGATTTGCACCATGCATACATGTGTAAATGCAGTCTTTATTGGTTAATAGCAAGTATCTACCATATTACTCCCCAGATATATAACGTAGGTTCTTTATATTACTCAGATTAATGGTATTAAAACTGTGGATGGGGCTTCCCTGGTGGCGCAGTGGTTGAGAGTCCGCCTGCCTATGCAGGGAACACGGGTTTGTGCCCCGGTCCGGGAAGATCCCACATGCCGCGGAGCGGCTGGGCCCGTGAGCCATGGCCGCTGAGCCTGCGCGTCTGGAGCCTGTGCTCTGCAACGCGAGAGGCCACAACAGTGAGAGGCCTGCAAACCGAAAAAAAAAAATTTTTAAATAAAATAAAACTATGGATGATGAAGAAACTAAATGAGGTTTCCAAGCTGCCATTTCTCTTTCACATTCTTTTGTCCTTCTCATACATGAGGTTCGTAATGAGATTTCATTGAAACAAAAAGACTTTCCTTATTTTCATCATTTCTATTATGCTGTGTTAGCATCGCCAAAGAAATAATTTAAATGAATACGAAATAGATGACCATCCATGATAATTTCTCTACAATTATTTCTTTGCTTTCAGTTAAGAGAAGGCATTCTTTGTTTTCTTTAAGAACTATGATTGGTGAGCCATATGCTCTTATTTTTTTTTTCTCTCCTTTTTTCTCTCTTTCCTTCTTCCTTTTGTCATCAAATATTTGGAAATGGTATAAATAAATATTAATTATTTTCTAGTGCTAAGAACTGTAAAATATGCCATTGTTTTCATGAAATTTGTATTCCAATACAGATGACAACTCTTTTACTATTAATTTCATAAAATCATGTTTCCCTATAAGTAGAAATATAATTTCTTCTGGAAAGAAACAGTGTCCTAAGAAAGGAAATAACTAAGAAAGGAGAAGAGAAACTCTGTTCTTGAACCTGCTGTATAGCACAGGGAGCTCAGCTTGGTGCTCTGTGATTACCTAGACGTGTGAGATGGGGGGGGTGGGAGGGAGGTCCAGGAGGGAGGGGATATATGTATACATATAGCTGATTCACTTCCTTGTACAGCAGAAACTAACACAACATTGTAAAGCAACTAAACCCCAATTAAAAAAAAAAAAAAAAAAGGGAAACACACACACAGAAAAGAAATTGATGATTGATAGGGGAAGTATAAAATACTTGAAATTTATTAAGACAAAAAATTGGGATTTGCCAAAGAAGAAAGATGCAGTGGTACTTCTGAGGTTAAATGTTTCTGTCAATAGCATAATGTAATTTTGCTCTCTCTAATTACCTACTACCCACTGCATTTGTATGGGTTTTTGCACCATCACAGATTGTTGCCCAGGAATGTAAGAATTCCTCTCCCTCACCCCCAACCCCCTCCACCATCCTTTACCCAATTCTTGCTAATAAATCTAGAAGTCTAGTGAGTTTAGAGCAGAAAAAAATGAGAAGTAGGCTTTGGTGATATGGGAATGGAAAAGAAGGCAGGTGAGACAATGCAGGAACTTGTTTGCCATGTAAAGAACTTTGGTTTTCATTCTAAGAGCATTCAACAGCCATTCTACAAATATTTATTGCCTGTCTATGATAGGCCATCATTTGGATATTTGCAAATATGTGTTAGCAGAGAAAATAAGTAAGTAAATGATGTTATATGTTTGCAGGTGAAAAATAATATGCAAATGTAGATGAGGATAAAGGGTCAGGAGTAAGTGGGGTGGGGGCAACAGTGAGCAATGACATACTCTACTTTGCCTTGTAAGGATGCATTTCTCAGGGGAAGATGAAAAATGAGCTGAATGTTGGCTTTTGCAATAGTCCAGGACAGAGGCAATGGCTTGGCATGTTAGTGATGATGGAGATAATGAGAAGTGAATAGATTTAAGAGACATACAGCAGGTAAAGTTGGTAGGACTCCATGATGCGTTTGATATGAAGGATGATGTAATAAAGAAATATCAAGAGTGTTTCCTTCGGTGCAGAATTGATCAGTAGCAGTTCTATTTTTGAGATAGAGAACTCTGGGAAAGGCTGGATTGGTTCTTTTTTCCAGCTGGTAGTAATCAGGAAAACCTTGAATCAATTCTTTAGTAATTCACCATGACTTATGACAGGGCATGACCTGAATTATTGTATATATATTCTTTTTCTTTCATCTTTCTATGCATTCATTGGCTGTTTGTAAGTAACTTCATATTTTAAAAGTGGTTTTGATTAAGCTAGAGTTAGTAATAAATTAACATGATAGAAGAAAAAAGTTGGAAAACTGTTGTTACCTAACTTCAAGACTTACTATAAAACTATAGTAATCAAGACAGTGTGGTATTGGCAAAAGAATAGACAAGGAGATCAGTGAAACTGAAGAGCCCAGAAATAGACCCCCATAAATATAGTCAACTGATCTTTGACAAAAGAGCAAAGGCAACATAATGGAGAAAAGTTAGTCTCTTCAGCAAATGGTGCTGGAACAAGTGGGCATCCACGTGCAAAAAAAAAAAAAAAGAATCTAGACATAGATATCACACCCTTAGGAAAAATTAACTTAAAATGGATCAGAGACCTAAATGTAAAGCACAAAACTATAAAATTCTCATAGACAATAACATAGGAGAAAACCTAGGTGACCTTGGGTATAGTGATACTTTTCTAAATACAACTTCAAAGTTTAAAACTGGACCAATGACCTTAACAGACACCTCACCAAAAAAGCCAGATGAGAGCTAAGCATATGAAAAGATGCCCCACATCATTTTATCAAGGAAATGCAAATAAAAACAGTAATGAAATTCCATTAAACTCTTATTAGAATGACTAGTATCTGGAACACTGACAACATTAAATGCTGGAGAAAATGTGGAGCAACAGGAACTCTCCTACACTCTTAGTGAGAATGCAAATTGTCACAGCCACTTTGGAAGACAGATTGAT